CCCCTCTGTGCCTGCCACCCCCTTTTCCCCCCCCCCCCCCTTCACCTGTAACACCTCTTCTCTCACCAACCACCATGGCGCACCCCCCTTCTCTAACCACCTTCCGCAACTGCACCCCCTCTTCTGTCAGCACCCAATGTGCCCCCCTGCCTGTTCTGGAATGGGCACACTTTTTCTAGTAGATATTAAACTGACAAAATGTAAAATCTAGTCCCATAATAACTTTCTCTGCATGTGTACATAATATGGCAGGTGGAATTGAGAAAATTGATTCAGGTGATTATCCAGAATATATGCATGTACGCCAAATCTGTCATATCTTGGTGTGCTTGAAAGGTCATTTTTAGTATGCATGGCTAGTTTATTTCCTCAACCATTTAAAAAAATAGATACAAAGAGAACCATTGCACAATAAATTAGAAAACATATTGTTTATTATTTTTTTAAACCAGTTTATTTTTTAATTTTATAACTGCACTTTTAATTTCCTGGTTCTTCAAACTGTAGATGACAGGATTTAAGACAGGAACCAATACTGCATAGAGAAGAGCAATAAACTTGTCATATTTTGGGGTGTAACTGGTAGTGGGTCTCATATACAAACAAATAATTGTCCCATAAAATATAACAACACAGGTCAAATGGGAGGAGCAGGTGGAAAAAGCTTTACGTCGACCTTCTGCTGATTTTATCTTCATAATTGTAGAGATAATGAATATGTATGACACCAATGTAAGCATAAAGGCAGCAGATAATATAAGACCCCCTTCTAGGTAGTTTATCAGTTCCACCTCAGAATTGTCACTGCAGGAGATCTTCAGCAGTGGAATGACATCACAGAAGAAATGGTCAATAAGGTTTGAGTCACAAAATGATAGTTTAGATATTAGGACAGCATGGCCACTGGGATCTACAAGTCCGACAGTCCAAGCTGTGATTGCAAGGCCAGCAGATTGTCTCAGATTCATCAGAATAACATAATGTAGAGGATGACAAATGGCCACATAGCGATCATAGGCCATGGCTGCCAGCAGGAGAACTTCAGCACAGGCCATGGCTAAAAAAAAGTACATTTGAAATATGCATCCCCCAAATAAAATTGTGTTGTTTTTGTTTATTAACATGTTTAATAATTTAGGCAAAATAGTAGATGTATAAGCAATGTCAATAACTGAAAGGTTCATCAAAAAGAAATACATTGGAGTATGAAGATGAGAATTACAACTGATAACACAAAAAATGCATGCATTTCCAAAGACAATAAGAAGGTAGATAAAAAGGAATACAATAAATACTGGAAACCGAAGTTCTGGTATGTCTGATAAACCTTCAACTATAAAATATGCTGGGTTTGAACGAGGTCCTGAGTAATTCTGATACATTTCTAAATTGGAAAAAAATTCAGAGATAGTCACTAAAGGACGCATGAGCCAGCAGGAGGAACCGCAGTGGCCGGCAGGGAAGCAAGCTTTCAACTTGTCCAATTGATGAATGTTCTCAGTGGCTGGGGAGCAGATAAGCTGCAGCTTTTCCTTACACTGGCTGCCAAAAAGTAAGGCCTTTTGTATAAGTGATCCTGTGGTGACAACACCAATTTAACAGCCTACGTGCGACAACGACGATTGCGCTCATTACGCCGCACATGTTACATATCGCCACAAACGTCGCAGTGAGAGCAATAATTCTAGGGCGGTTAATCACCGATAACACTAAACTGATGAGCAGTACAAGCTTTTAAAGCGTTGCCTATGGTCAATTTTGGGTATGGTAGTTCTTTGCGATTTTGCGGGTGTGCTCAATTTGAAAGCTTGACATGTTTGGTGTCTATTTACCCGACGTGACCCGATCTTTTATATTTTACCCAAAAATTCAGTAATAATAATTGTTTCGTTTACATAATGTAAAAAAAAACAACTTATTTTTTTCAAAATACTCAGAAATGTTTCCTTAATATAGTAAAAAAATAAAACCCCCAGTGGTGATTATATACCACCAAAAGAAAGCTCTATCTTTTCCCAAAAAAATAATTTTAGTACAGTGTTGCATGACGGAATAAATGTCAGTCAAAGTACCGCAGCGCTAAATACTGAAAAATGGTCTGGCCAGGAAGGGGGTGTAAACACCTGGTCAGCAAGTGGTTAACATAAGTATTTTACTAATTCCGTTAATACCTGTATATATAGCTAAAGCCCAAACTTTTTTTCATTTTGGCGTAGGTGAGGTATGGAACCACTGTCAGTTTTATTTTGACACCTTTGTCTCATTACAGATATTTCCCCTAATTTTCTGCCTGTAACATTTGTCATGGAAACAAGTGTCCCCATCTGAAGATTTCCCCTCTATTCCTGTTCTGGGGCAACTCACAATTTTAGATTTAAACTTACTTTCATAACAAAGACATATACAGCAATAAAAATCTGAAATCTGTTATTGTACTGATACTTTTACCAGTTCAACTCTTGCACCTGTATACCACTTTTGGACCAGAGCAGTTTCTATAATTTTGTCCTAGGCCTATTGATTCAGCGATAACTTTGCCATTACTTAAGATAACAACGAAATACACTTAAACAAGGCTTTCTTTTGGTGATATTGTCTTGCAAAAATTATTTTATTTTTTATGTAATCTACAAAAATATGTAACAAAGCTAAAAAAACACCTTTGTTTTCTTTGACCAGTGTCAATTTTAAAGTAGGAAGTGTTAATGTAATAACAAACATTTTTATAAAAATATTTTTAAATTCATCCCATTTATTGACATGATGTTTGTAAAACAAACAGTAGTTGTTTATAAAAGCATATTTTAATATGACATTAAAACATTAACAAACTAAAGGAAAAAGGTGACATTATTATGGTTAAAAATAGTAATTAAAAAACAGCAGCAAAAATTATAGGTAAGGGGTAAATCAGAAGAAGCAGGGCTGTCCCTATAATGAAACAGCCTGAGTCTGTTGCCTCAAGCAGCATCTCTTGGATCATGTGGGCCGTACACATCTCCCCTCCCAGTTTAGGGCTCACCTTAAAAATTAGGGTTAGGTTTAAATATTATAAAATAACGGGGTTAAGGCACTGGATGTGGAGACAAATGAGGCTGTGAAACCTGGAGGCTGTGAAACAGTACCTTCTGTTTCTGTGAAATGATATTCCTGTGGACATTCTGGCCCTATAATTTATTCACAGCCTACATTCAGCCTCAGTAGGTGGCTTTATTGGATCCAATCTTAGAGAGTGAGGTGATGAAGGAAGACGGGGATTGGGATGGCAGATTGTAGGATCCCACACTTCCCTGGTGGGATCTTGTATCGACAAGATAACTTACAATATAAGAACACAAATAGGGTCACAAGTATCTGTTGTTTTTGCTGCATTAAAAAGACATTGTAATTTAAGATGTAGGATCTGGTGACAGGGTCTCTTTAAAGCATTTTTTTTACATTTAATTTACTAGTGTAGCAGCACGTTCATAGACATCAATATCATACTAATTAAGAAACATATACAATTAAGGGCATATACAATGTATTAGCAACTTAAGTTGAAAAGTGGGAAAATTAAGTGGGAGATTTTATTTAAAGTACACTTCTTATGAATGAAACATGGAGGCTGCCATTGCTGTTCTTTCCTTTTAAAAATGTCTATTGCATGGCTGTCATGCCAACGTTACTAGAATCCCTTGTCACTCACTAGGAACAAGTGTCCTGATAGGGATAGTTCCATTGAATGATTGCCAACAACATCTAGGCAACATTTTTTCCTAAGAGATTAGGCAGAGGTGGGTGGTTTATTTGTTAAGGCATAGGTTAAGTTGGGAGAGCTGAGTGTTTCGGGGGATGCTTTGAATTGTAGGCACTATTAGAGGAACTGCAGGGTATATTCTTGTTCTTAGCTCAACACTGCAAACTACCAGCACCAAGAACATATATAATTTAGTCAATTATATATTTTTCTATTTTATTAATTTTCTAAAATAGATCACATGTAGCTCAATCTGAAAACAGTAGGAACTGCAAGAAACACGGGTCAGGTGGCAGGTTAATCTCTGCTTCTGTCTCAAACCCTACCATGTATATTCATGCACAACTAATGAATGTAATAATTATTAAACACATGCAGCTGCAAACATTTTTATTTTTTTACATCTTTATGGGCCGCAGTTGTACTTTACACAAGAGCCTACATTTTGTGGTCCATTTATAACATGCAGGCAATGTTTAGCAGAAAGAACTTTGTGATTGAAGAAGAGGCCAGTCACTTTGACAGGTCATGTAAGCAGGCTATCCTCCCGGCTTATTTATTTTATTAGTGCTCTACTGGTTTTGAAGTCACAAAGCCCGTGGAGTGCTAAGCACATCTATATGCTTTATTAGTGTGACTTTTTTTAAGCAGCGATATGGCCATGGTAATGGATCACTTTGTCTAATATGAATAGTTGTACCTCTAGCAATACTGACACATTTTATGAAAAATTCATTATTAAAAAACAACAACAATATTGGACAATAAAATGTGATTTAATGGGCACACATTTTATTGTTGAATTGCTAACTTACCTTATGGTTTTCCACTGGTTAAAGAAAATAATTTGTATAACTGCTTCAAGATAATATACAAAATTATGAACAAGATACACGTTTTGTCATCATTACAATTGCATATAAATATAAGAAATTATAAACAAGATACAAGTTTTTTCAACATTACAGTTGCATAAAGTCTTTGTATGCATTCATTCACGTGGACTGGCCAATATAGCAATGAAGATTTTCTTCTTAGCCGCAGAGAATTATTTCCAATGAAATGCATGAATATATACTGGATGTCAGAGACTAAATTCATATGGGATCTCATTAATTATTGACAAACACGTGTAAACTTCAGGTTAATTAAGAACGTTGTTTAACTAGTAATAACTAAACTACTGAAAACTTTGTAAAGTCCTTTATAATAATACTAACTGTGTAGTTTAAAAACAAATTAACATCCCATAATATGGTGAAAATGGAGGATAATGAGGACATCATAGGGCCAATTCACTAAGATGTAGGTGTTGTTTTAAATGCTTTCAGTATTCTTCTCATAATAATTTTCTCTTCAAATTACAAACCTAGATAATTATTTGGTGTGAAATGGTTATAATGTTAAGCATTAAATAAATAATAAAGCCTTAACCCGTCCGGCGATGGATGGTTCTCAATAATGTACAGAGTGATAGACATGTGCACCAGCAAAAAAATTGTTTTGTTTAACTTCGTTTTGATTCCTATTTTGCGTTATTTTGTTTTTCAGGATTCGGGTCCGAAAGTCAATTCGTTTCGGAATTCAGATTCGGACGAAATTCGTTTCCTTTTTGTTTCGTTCGTTCGTTCGTTCGTTGCAGCAAAGTGACATTTAAGAGGGAAAATTTTTCTCAAATGTCACTTTGCTGCAACGAAATTTCGTCCAACAAACAACATTTCATAGACTACCGCTAACAAATTTTGGAATCGTAAATTCAGATTCGCTTGTATTCGTTATATCTGTAATTCGGATATATCCGAATCTCCAAATTTCCGAAATTTATTCCGAATTTCAATTCGGAACAAATTGCACATGTCTACAGAGTGACGCTGACGTAATGATATCAGTGGCAGTCTCTGCATCATTACACTGTTTGCGTCAGGTGCTGTGGTGTCTCCTCTTCCTGGGCTGGGTCCAAGAAACCCTGTAAGCAATTTTCTGGGTTGAAGAATGATGAATGTCATTGGAACTGGTATACTGAGGACATCTTGTGGTGAAATAGGATTAAATAAAACAAGTTTTTTTTAAATGTAGGCTTACAAATGTCCAAAATTGTACACTTTTTCTTCCTAGTTTTTAATTAACGTATTATAACTTTTCTGTTACAAAATTTTTAAGTAGCAAAGGAACACAGCAAGTCTCAAAATAAATTAACGAGCATACAGCAAAGAGATTATCACAGGCAATTGCAGTTAAAATTTCTCAATAAAACGAACATATGAAAAGCATCAGTGGTACCATACAAAAAGGTGCTAAAGGGTATACCAATGTTGGCAAGGATCCAAAATCATAAATAAAGGAGGAGGAAAAAGGGAGTAAAGGCCCCACGAGAAAGGTGAACAAAATTGACTAAAGAGATAATAAGGATACATCAAAATTCAGAGGTTGTGAATAACAAATCCACTGCTGCCAGACCGATAAAAATTTGGAGTGGGTGTCAGACAAAATTGTGGTCAGTTTCTCGTTGATCATAATATCCGTCAATCTATTCTTAACGGCAACATAGCTCAATGAAGGCGACTTCCAACCTTTAGCTATTGTTAACTTGGTGGC